GTTTTATATAAGATCTTCAAAAAGTGGTCTCGCCTAAGTTATTTCACTTTTATCATCACAGCTTTAATTTTAAGTAATCTAGCCAATAGGAATTTGCCGTTTTTTTATTAAAGTCTTACACGGTAGTCTCGCCTAAGTTAGTTCACTTTCAAAAACATATCTCTGAGGTTAAGTCATCTAGCCAATAGGAATTTGTCGTTTTATATTAGATCTTCAAAAAGTGGTCACGCCTAAGTTATTTCACTTTTATCATCACAGCTTTAATTTTAAGTCATCTAGCCAATAGGAATTTGTCGTTTTATATAAGATCTTTAAAAAGTGGTCTCGCCTAAGTTATTTCACTTTTATCATCACAGCTTTAATTTTAAGTAATCTAGCCATTAGGAATTTGTCGTTTTATATAAGATCTTTACAAAGTAGTCTTGCCCAAGTTATTTTATTTTTAATATTACATTTTTGAGGTCGGGTAATCTAGCCCGTCAGAATTTGCAGTTTTAATTTGAACATAGCTTTCTTGTGGTTGACTTTAGTAGGAGTTCTTACCGGACCAAGCATTTCTAATGTAGACTATATTTATCGCAGTCATTAGGGTCAGTGAGTTTTTAGTTAAAGAGATGAACTATCTAGCGCTTTTTAAGGTCAAAAAAGTTGTATATACAAAATTCATGCTGAGCTAGGATTCGAACCCCACAATGTCAGACTACGTGGTGCGAAAGGCGGATCGCTAACTGTTTACGCTAAATGACTTGGCACAGTTGAAAAGTAATTTAAATATCTTTAATAATTATTAATACACATTTAACGCAAAAACAAATATCATACACTAATAGAAAAAAATGTAATAAGATAACAAGGCAAGTAAAAAAAAAAAAAAAAAAAAAAAAAAAAGTATAAACACTAAAGTGAAATGTGCAATGTTGTGTGTGCGAGCCAGGGCCCTGGTGTTTAAGCGTAAATTCATAATTAAGTAGTGGTTTTACCTGTGACGCCCTCCTCAGAACCATGCATGTGTCACAGATGACGTTTCGGGCAGCAATAGTATCAGAGACATAACGCCAATCGTCAAAGGCGTATCATCGTTTTTGATACTACTACCCATGATTTACTACATGCTAGTCCTATCGCGATAGTTATGACCTCACTACTAGAAAAGCCAAATCCTTTCCCTAGCCCTAATTATATATAACACCAGTGTCCTCCGATAATGATGTCATGGCGGTCAAGCTTGGATCTGAAGTGTGAAAAGCTGTGATTCTAAATATGTCATGAACATATTTAGAATTAATCTACACATATGTCTATAATCATACCAAATATATACATATGTGTGTTCATACATAAGAGCTTCCTTATGTATGCTGGTGTCTATTAAGACTATAGCGAATAAAAAACAAAAGCAAGTATAATAAATAGATCTAGGAATGAGTAAGAACTAAGAACACTCACCATCTTTTATTAGATTAATCGGTTAGCAGAGTACCCCCAGTTAAGCAAAGTTAACAAAACAGTATCTACACTTGTATGTTTGTATAATAACTAATATCTATGACTCCATATGTGAAAAGCCACGCTGCAGTGAAAACCTCAACGTGTACTATTAACAACAGTGGCGCGAAGACGTCAATATATTAAATAAGAAGTTTTTAGTATAATTAGGTCCCTTGGGAGATTAAAATGAATGAAAGTAAAAAACTTTCTTTTAGATACACGACAAACGGAGATAATCGAGTGAAGTTTTGACATGTTATATATCGAGACCATGCCAGCTCTTAGGTACGGGTGACAATAAATCTTATGGTTGCGGTAGTTCACTTACTGATTCTTAGCGGTACAAGATTTTGCTGTGAATTTACCAGTTCTCTGAGTCTATCTTGTTATCATACAAATGGTTTCTATTGAAATCTTTTAATTTTAAACATATTTATTTGGCGCGAAACGGTAAATCTAGCGCAGAACGCGGCTTAGGAGGAAACTGACCAATTCAGACCGGCGCATAGAACATTTTTAACGTTATCTACTAAAATCAAACTAAAAAGTAAAGGGAAGGAAGGATTTAAAGTGAAGTAGTTAAAACACAGACAGGTAGTATACTAATAATAAATTGTATAAATCAATAAAAAGAACAAAAAGGAAACAAATGGTCGGAAAGATTTAGTGTCGTCAGGATTAGTGTTGGAAGAAGTCGTTGCTCAGTGAAACCACAGCTCCCCTGAAAGAGGAACGAGATATATATTTTTATTAAATTTTGTACACGGACAGGGTCCGTGTACTGGTTGGAACACTTTGAGCCGTAATAGCCTGAGGGAAATAAAGAAAATTAAATTAGTAAGTTTAAGTGTTAGCATCAGATTATCAAAATTGGACACATGTCCAGTACAAAATTACAGTTTCAGAAGATTAAGAAGGAACACAATAAAAATCTATACTGGCAAAGGTAAGAACTAACTAATCAAAATATAAAACTATATTACTAAGCTGACTAATGTATAAATAACATATACAAAATTAGATTTACGAGTAATTTAAAACCGGGGTAGAGTTTGAGTTTAAGTAATCTAGCAATTAGGAATTTGTCATTTTATTTACGACTCATCCACAATATTCTCGCCCCAAGACTTTTGCTTTTGATCACAATTTCAGGTTTAAAAGTCTAGCCAAAATGAGTCTGTCGTTTTATATAGAATTTTAGCAAAGCAGTCTCGTCTTAATTTGTTCACTTTTATTATCACTTTGTTGAGGTTAGGTTCTCTAGCCAATAGGAAATTGTCGTTTTATATCGGACCTTTACATGTTGACCTTACCTAAGTTATTTCACTTCTATTACCACAGTTATTATCACAGTTTTATTCATAAGTGATCTAGCCAATAGGAATTTGTTGTTTTATATAGGATTCCCATACGGTAGTCTCGCCTAAGTTAATACACCTTTAATAATACATCTCTGAGGTTAAGTCATCTAGCCAATAGGAATTTGTCGTTTTATCTAGAATTTTAACAGAGTAGTCTATTCTAAGTTATTTAACTTTCAAAATCATATTTTTGAGGTCAGGTTATCTAGCCAACAGGAATTTGTCGTTTTATTAAAGATGTCACCTTCTTGTCCCCATGATTTTAGGTTCTAGAAATTGGCCAATAGTAATCTGTCGTTTTATATAAGATCATTACAAAATGGTCTTGCCTAACTTATTTCACTTTTATCATCACAGTTTTAATCTCAAGAATTCTAGCGAATAGGAATTTGTTGTTTTATCTAGGGTTCTTACACGGTAGACTCGCCCAAGTTAATTCACTTTCAATAACATATCTCTGAGGTTCAGTCATTCAGCCAATAGGAATTTGTCGTTTTATTTACGCCCTATCCCACAGTATTCACGCCAAGAAAATTTTGCATCACGATTTCAGGTTTGGAAGTCTGGCCAATATAAGTTTAGCCATAATGAAAGTGGTCTTGCCTAAATTATTTCACATTTCAGTATCACTTTTTTGAGATTAGGTTATCTAGCCAATAGGAATTTGTCGTTTTATATAAGATCTTTAAAAAGTGGTCTCGCCTAAGTTATTTCACTTTTATCATCACAGCTTTAATTTTAAGTAATCTAGCCAATAGGAATTTGTCGTTTTTTTTATAAGAGTCTTACACGGTAGTCTCGCCTAAGTTAGTTCACTTTCAAAAACATATCTCTGAGGTTAAGTCATCTAGCCAATAGGAATTTGTCGTTTTATATAAGATTTTCACAAAGTTGTCACGCCTAAGTTATTTCACTTTTATCATCACAGCTTTAATTTTAAGTAATCTAGCCAATAGGAATTTGCCGTTTTTTTATTAAAGTCTTACACGGTAGTCTCGCCTAAGTTAGTTCACTTTCAAAAACATATCTCTGAGGTTAAGTCATCTAGCCAATAGGAATTTGTCGTTTTATATTAGATCTTCAAAAAGTGGTCACGCCTAAGTTATTTCACTTTTATCATCACAGCTTTAATTTTCTAAACAAGCTCTATCTGCTAAGCTTGAGCTTCTTTCCCGTTGTCGTAAAGTTGCATCTCTTTCTCTTTTCTACAAATTCTATCATGGTGGCTGCTCAAAAGAATTATTATCTCTAGTTCCATTAACAAAAACTCATTCTCGCTTGACTCTTTCATTCATTAGTTGTTAAATTTTATTAAATATAATAAATGTAAATAAATAATGTTTATTGTGTCAATATACACTAAAAACAATAAAGATAAAATTGAGAAAAATAAAATTATCAAAGAAGTTTTTATACAGAACTGCTTCAACCACGTTAACCTTTAACCGCGTTAATATACCAAAACAAAAATTAATTCAGTAAATTTCAGTATTTATTGTCCTATTTAAATCAGAAACTAAAATATGAATTAAGATATTGCCATTAAAGTTAAATTTAGTAACTTAAACAATGAATTTTTGAATATTTCCCAAAAAACCCAAAAAAACGGACCCATAATTTTTTTTCCAAAAAAACAACAAAAAAACAAGAACCAAAAAAACGCGTCACATCTCTCTCTCTCTCTCTCTCTCTCTCTCTCTCTCTATATATATATATATATATATATATATATATATATATATATATATATATATATATATATATATATATATATATATATATATATATATATATATATATAATGTGTTATTTAGAATACAATTTCAAAAACTACACTAATACAAAAACTTAAAATTTAAATTTATTAGCACTAAAGAAAAGTAAATTTCACATAGTTACTATGAGAAACTATTGTGACTGATAAATTTATTTTAGTACACAAAATATCAATTAAACGATACCTATCTTTATTTGAGACAAACAATTTTTTGATTATTTACAAAAACAGCATATTATTTTTTCAGTAAAAAACATATCATAAATAAAAAAAAAACATATCATAAATAAAATCGTATCATATAAAAACATATCATAAATAAAATCGTATCATATAAAAAGATTATTAAAGCAACAATTTCTAAATTTTATTATTTCTGAATAAAAATATATACCACTAAAGGCCAAAAAATTATAATCTAACCTCAAAACCAAATACCATTTGAACTGAAGCTCCACTTGAAAGTGTAATTCGAAATGCATGATGAATAAGTACAGAATCAAGAGTGCCCAATAACATCATTAAACCTAAAAAAAAAATACTTTTTAAAATAATAAATTAATAAATTATAAATGACCAGAGAATTCACAGAAAACAAGATTTCTTTGAAAATGATAAATAAAAAAAAGTTGAAGTTACAAAAAAGCTAAAAAGTTTTTAGTTAACATCTCGATAAATAATTTATTTTAGTAAATTTAATAAACCCTAAACTTATTTTCTTAGGTTTATTTTTATGGTTTATTTAAGATATGAACACAACTTGTCTCGACACTTGGGGATCCCTTTAAGGATAGTAAAAACATTTTATGTTTATAAAAATTTAACAAAAATAATACAAATAATAAGAAAGAAATTAAAATAACAAAATAAATCTGTAATATTTTTTAAAATATTGTTAAATAAGTTAGCAAGTAGTAAATAACCAGACAAAATAAAGTAACCTGCAACAACATAAATACAGTTTTTGTAAAAAAAAAAAAAAATCATTTAATTAAGATTATAATTCTAATATCTATAATTATAGTTATTAATATTTTGAATATCATTAAAGATAATTTAATTACAAAACAAAACATAACAATAGCAACATTGATTATTTTAATCTTTTTCTTTTATTTTTTAATTTTATTTTTTCAATTGTTTTTTTTTAAGGTTTTATCTTTTTTTCTTTTTTAAAATGTCATTTTATGCTGTTAACAAAAGGGTTTTTTTTATTAAGTTATCTTTCACTACTGACCTTTCATGGATATCATATACTAGTCCTTTGAATTAGAAAAAATAATTCAAAATTGGAAATAAATTGCCAATCTTGAACTATTTTTGGTCAGCATAAGATGGGCACAAATATTTAACACAATGGTTTCATCATAATAACATAGAAACAAACCCCAACCTCAGACACTTTCAGGTCAGTAGAATAGACTCAACTATGTTTACAATGTATTTACCTTGTCTAAAAAAGGAAGAAGCCAAAATATGAAAAAAGTATTCAATACAGGAATAAGTTCAGATAGCGTTGCAGAATACTGACCCTAATTTCAAATGCACATATATTATTCATTACAAAGTTAGCATCTGCTATAGTTGTCTTTATCATGCTTGCCATTTTATTACTACTGATTCCATTCTCTACCTCTGTAAACTTATTCCTTTTTTCATATTTTGGCTAATTCTTCTATAGATGTCCTTCCTTTTTTAGACAAGGTAAATACATTGTAAACATAGTTGAGTCTATTCTAGTTGCCAAGCTTGTCATAAAAATGTCTCTTTCTCATTACAAATATTCTTATTACAAATACATTTTTTCATTACAAATACTATTATTACAAATACACTTATTACAAATACACTTATTACAAATACTCTCATTACAAATACACTTTCTCATTACAAATACTCTTTCTTATTACAAATACTCTTTCTCATTACAAATACTCTTATTACAAACACACGCATAACAAATACACACATTACAAATACTATCATAGAAGAAGACCCTGCTATAAGTATAATAGTAAAATGATGAATTGAACATGTTAGAGCAATTTTTAGAGTTTTAAAAAATAGCAGATGCTATTTTTTAATAAGCAGGAAAACAAGATTCAGTTAAGCACTTGTTAAATAGTTTAAAGAATATTCAAGAAAGCTCTAGAAAACGCTTTTACAGAAAAACTGTTACAGAAATATTTTTCTAATACTCTAGTATACTATTGCTGTTTATAGAATCAGCCTCTCTGAGAGTGACCAAAGAGAAAAAAAGATCCTAACAGCAGATAACCACAGAATCATTCCCCTGAGTTACTATACCTTCATTAAGAGATAACAGAAAGATTTGCACAGCCATTATTATGAGTAGACTTTTAAAATATATAGTTTACAAGAAGTAAACCAAAAGTAGAGCCAAGAAGTCTTTATTATGCTAGGCAAGAAATAATGTAATACAGATTATCATTTATGTCAAGCAATTAGGTCAGAAAAAGGAGTCCAAGGCCAAGATCTTCTACACAGCAGCACCGGGTAAATTTATGTTTGCCACAGACAAATATTGAGACAGCATTTCTAGTCTTTATTCAACCAAGAGCCCTAAATATAGAATTTAAGGCAGAGCTAACTTCTTCAAGCTTTTGCCTTAAAAATTAAACCCTACAAGGCAACAGGATATGTGGCAGGTTGTACTAGATTACATTTACCAGCAGCAAAATCAATTCAAATAATTAAAGCCCTTACTTTTAAGACTTTAAGATGTTCATAACCCAAATTTCTTACCTGAACTTATTAACTTAGGAGAAATCTTTTATATAAAAATCGAATATTACATTTTATTTGATATTTTACAAAGTTACTTTTTTTCTTTCAAGTAAATGAAACTAGTTAGATTAATTTAAGAGAAAAACAAAAAAAATTAAAATCCATACTTATTACTCTCAAATGGAATAGAAAACTTATAACTGGTGTTCGATCCATCTAAAAAATAATTAACATTTTGTATAAATTATTATTGAAATGCAGTTAACATATGAATTATTATGTATTTTTAAAAACTTGGAAGTAAAATGGTTAGCTTTACATTACAACTTCAGGATTATTCCCTGTTAATAACAATTGATTAGTCCTTATTAATAACATTTTAAACAAAAAAAATAAAAAATAACTCTTCTACCAAAATTTTTGAAAACTTGTAATGGCAACAAATTATAATTAAAAAAACAAAAACAATCTAAGCCGAAAAAGCTTTAAATATTTTAAAACATTAATTACATATATGTTTAATTAACTGTATATAAATATATGTAAGTTATATTATACATTATAAAACTATATATAAAATATATATTGTAACGATGGTAAATCTAATTTATTTAGTCAACTAATTTAAAATACCTAAAAATAAATATTTAAATCTCACATAATCAACACGATCTTCCATTAACCAATGAAAAGCTTTCATAAAAAGTAGAAATGTAAATAAAGCAACAAATTTAGGGCTGAAATCATCACGGAAAACAGTGAATGCCAAGCATGTTTCAGTAATTACATACCAAAATTTTTCAATAAGATGCTAAAAAAAAAAAAAAAAAAAAAGTAAAAATCATCACCAACATTATAATCATCACTTTTTGAAATTTAAAGATAACCATACCTCAACCTCTGCTGCACGCAGCTGTCCAAAAAATATTCTACGGAGAGCTTTTCCAATTAAAAATAGCAGGACAAATACTTGAGCATATAACACCTACAACAAAGTCATTAAGAATAAACTACAAGTAAACAATATATATATATATATATATATATATATATATATATATATATATATATATATATATATATATATATATATATATATATATATATATATATATATATATATATATATATATATATATATATATATAATAAAACTCTGAAATAAATATTAAAAAATAGAAGTCTTTACAGAGAAATTTACATAATAACGGACAAAAATTTACATAATAAACCAATATATATTACAAAATAACTCAATCATTGGTAAATAACCAATCAAAATAACTAACTGTCAAAAAAATAAATAAATAAAATTAAACTGACAGTAAAATTAAATAGATAAGTTTATAGCATAATGTGAAGTTTGTTCATTAAGTGAGGGACTTTCCCATTTAATGTGGAGGGCTTCTTTTATCTTTAATTTGTGTTTGTTTAGGGGATTATTATATTTTGCATTTTCTTGATAATCAACTGAAAAATAAAGCTTCAAAACTTCAACTTAAAAGTGATCATTCCCATTTGGCTAACAATTACGTATACAAATACACTCCATCTGAAATTTGTCTAAGAAAATATAAAATATTAAAAAGACTTCGGAATAATGAGAACATTGTTATTACACAACCTGACAAAAGAAAAGTTATAATTGCTCTTAATAAAGTTGATTATATGAATTCATTACGCAATATTATAAGTAATAAGACTAAGTTTAAAGAAATTTAAAAAAAGAGAATCCAACTATAAAAAGAGAAATATCTTTACAAGGGTATCTAAGAAAACTTTATAAGCTTAAATGTTTTGAAAAAGACATTTACACTATAATCTATCCTGTAGGATATCTGCAAGTATTTACGCGTTGCCTAAAATGCATAAAGTTAGTAAAGATAGTTATCTCTTTCAACATTTCAATCTATCATCTCAACAATCGGAATATATAACTACAGCCTTGCCAAACATCTTTCTCATTTATTGTCTCTTCATATACATAAACAATTTTGCACTTTAGACTCATTTTCTTTTGTTGAAGAATTAAAACAAACTAATGTAAATAAATTTACTGTTTCATATTAATTTGTTCACAAATATTCTACTTCATATGATTTGGAATTTGATATTATTTTGATTCATATGGTGCTAAAGTTAGAATACATTTTTTAAATTGTTTATATATATATATATATATATATATATATATATATATATATATATATATATATATATATATATATATATATATATATATATATATATATATATATATATATGCATATACATACATATATATATATATATATATATATATATATATATATATATATATATATATATATATATATATATATATATATATATATATATATATATATGTATATGCATATACATATTGTTATATATATATATATATATATATATATATATATATATATATATATATATATATATTAGTGATGTACCAATTAATGGGTATCCGCATTCGCTTAATTGGCCATTTTTTGCACAATCGGAATCGGTATCGGCATCCGCCTTTTTTACCAATTTTCCAACCGATGGCATTTTAATATTTTTATCCTGCATTATTATAATAATTAAATAATAAATAAACTTTGTGCATTATCTTTTTGGATGAATTTTTTGGATAAATTTTTATTTTGACTTTGTTTACAGGCAAAAGCTTTTAAAGTAACCTATTTAAGCATTGTTATCTAGATATTTTTAATTCTTTTTTATTCCCAATAAGGCTTCAAGCAACCACTATCAAAATGGGAGTTGCTAAAAAAAAAAAGTAGAGTTATAGAGCAATAAAGTGGTTGACAGAGGACTTAAAAAGTTAAAGGTTGTATGAGTCAGGAAAACATGAAAATGGGACAATAAAAGACAAATAAAAGTTTTTGGAGCATAAATATATATATATATATATATATATATATATATACATATATATATATATATATATATATATATATATATATATATATATATATATATATATATATATATATATATATATATATATATATATATATGCGTAGAACAGAAAAATTTGAATTTTAGTTACTAGTTAAATAAACTATAAATCCTTGGAAAATGTATGTTTTAGCAGTATACTTTTTTTTTAAGATAATATTTTAAATTAGTAAAGATTTCCAAAAAGTTACAGGATTGCACTATGTATTAGAGTCACAGCAATTGTTTAAATACAGTTCATAAATGATCACGCACAGAAGTTACAAATTTGTCAATTTCGTGTAGTTATTTTTATAAAATAAACTTGCTTGTGGGTATTTCAAGTAAAATATTATACTTCTATGACTCATACTTAATATATTTTCAATGAGAAATAGCATTCAGCAAATAATACTAGCTTGAGTATAGCGTTTTGAAAATTATTATATATTTTTCAAACTATTGTGACATTCACACATAAAAAAATAGAAAGATAAAAATATATAAATTTAATTTATTCAGGTAGCCTTAAATATGATAAAAAATTTTCTGTTAGTTGTTCTTCATATTTTTTTGTTACAATTGTTCTTCAAAATCATAATAATATTTAGTAGCATATAGGTTCTCTAATGAACTAAGGGTGGCAACATAGTTAATACAAATTGTAATTTTTAATATGGACTATATTATACTTTTAAGATGCAGGTGGACCTTTAAACATGTTTTCCATCAAATTTTTTCAATAAGAATTAGCATCTAAAATATTCTAAACTAATTATCAAAAAATCAATTAAACATAATATAACAAATTCTATTATTATTATTATCACCGTTATTTCTATTCTGTTTTTAGAGGTAAAGATTGGGACATATAAGCATCATGATTATCATCATTATTTTGTTGCCTCTGTAAATACTTTTTCTGATAATGCCATCCGTTTGATTTTAATTTTCACGGTTTTGTATACTTTACTGGTTTCTTAAAAAAATCTATTAATTTTTGGGGTTTCCAGAATCCAACCTAAAGAGTCTTTTTATGACCTGTGTATGGCTTTGTTGCTACTTACTTTCTTCATATTTAAAAATTTTTTCCATTCATAGATTACTTGTTTTGGTATGTTGATTAGGGTAAAGCGGGGCATTAAGCTCCATGTTTTCAAGAACTTTCACTTCTTCTATTTGAAATAAGTAAAAAAAAATTTAAATTTAAATGTTTAAATTTAAACTGAAAATGTTTTTAAGTAATAGACAACACATATTTCTTTAAGTACAATAGCTTTAATCAGAAAAATTTATAATCTTACTGTGAAAAAAAAAACTAAAAAGTTACAACTAAAATGACTCAAGATTTAAAAAATGGGGGCAATAAGCTCCAGATGTTAAACATTTATTTTCACATTGTTTGTAAGCAAATCTCACAGATCCATTCCACGGCTTCAATATCAGCCCCATCTGGGGCTGATATTAAAACAATGGAATACCAGTCATGGAATATCAGCCATTCAATATCAGCCCCATCCTCGCACTCTCCTTAAAAGAGCCTTTTTTATCAACTCCATAATGAAAGAAAGCATGGTTGGCAGACATTTGCTTGCCTGTAGGCATCTTTCATTGCCTGGCTAGTTGCATATAACTTCCTTCCTAGTTCCTCTCCCTTTTTATATGTTTGAACCATTTTGCTAAACAACTGTTAAGCAAAATTTCTCCCCCTTTGTACAAAGGGGGTAATAAGCTCTATTGTCAAAACTATATTTAAAACAGTATTAAACTATTTCTAAAAATAAGTAACTTTTGTTTTCAATTTAAACTATATCTGTGTAATGTTTATATAATTAAAACATTGATTTTATTTATCTAATCAATTTTATTCAGTTGTTTTAATCACCTTTTCGTCATTTGGGGGCATTAAGCCCCTGCTAATTAAAACATTAATTTTTATAAATTAATTTAACTAATTTATAATCAAGAAAATCATAATTCTCTTAGAAATGCTCTCTATTCAAAATATTTAATAGAAATTTAGTATTAAAGTGAATTTGGAGTTATTTATAAACAATGTCTAAGACATTTATTTAACCGCCATTTTATTTTGCTAAAATTGATACCTTAATTTGCTCTAGAAATATTAGTATTTTAATTCATTAGTTACATACACAGGTAGTTATAAAGTTGAAAATACTACTTACTAAGTTTATATTTACTTGTATTGTTAGTCAAAACAAACACACGTTTATATGCACTTGTATTTCAAGTCAATAACAAACACGCGCTAATTTAACAGAAGTTCTTCAACAAGTTTGAAGGAAACAGAAAACTAGATGAAAAAATCACTTATCTATAAATTCTAACTACATATCAATGTCATGGGTTAGAAACCCAAGTATGGTTGAGAAAAGATCCCTGATTGATTAGTTAGTATCTATGATGTAAAATTTAATGTCCCTCTCTCTTAATACAATAACACTAAGCATTTTATTATATGAACGGAGTAAGTGGCGCTTAATGCCCCATGGGGCTTAATGCCCCGCTTTACCCTATATAAGGAACATTTTAGCCAGCTAGAGTATAGAGTTCTTTTTTTTGATATTATGTTTGTTTCAAACTCATTATTGATACCTTTTTGAATAATATTAATGATCATTAACCATTGTTTACATTTAGTTGTATTTAATTGTATCTTAATCACATATTTCAAGTTCGTTTCTTAGCATAATTTACTTTTGTATTTTTTATAATTCATACTGTCATAGAGTTTAATAGTTTTATATTATACTAACATATTGCCACATTTCTTAACTGTAATACCAATTTTATACTTTATACTTACTACCTCATGATCTAAATATGTTTTTAAATTTATATAAATTTTGTTAATCATACATTTTGATTTAAATTTAAAAAAAGTACTTACTGCTAAGCTAGAATTTGATTTTGTTAAGAAAACTACTGATGGATAAAACTGTTTCTTTTGTACAAAAGCATTTGTAATTACAGCTGCTGTAGCAAGAGAAGTGCCAACAGTTACAAGAGCAAACTTCATTTTGAATTTAACCATTCAATACTCGAAAAATTTATAATTTTCTAACTCATGACTCGATTTCATTTGCTTAAACATAAGCTGTATACTTATATAAAGTATATATTGCTTAAACATAAACTTTAACATATATTTATAGTTGAATAATGATAAATAAAAAATGCAGTAGTTTTATTTATTTTTATCATTAAGAAAAAAAAAAGTAAACGAAGTACACTTAGACAGATTATTATTGTGTTTTTTTTAAGCTTTTTAACATTCTTGTATTAAATAACTTTATTTTATATTTTATTAACGTTTTTATATATTTTAAACGATCACGTATTCAGTATAACTTCCGCGAGTATATTTTGTACTCCGCAAAGCTAATTTTTTGGTTTGGAATTTAAAGTGTCGTGTCAGACGTTTGATGAAAACAACACCACCATCTTTATTTGCAAAAACAAGTATAATTTCGGGAGGTAGAGGGGTATTTTCGAAAAGAGTCACGAGAAAATAATATCACGTATTCTATATTTTATACATGATATAGTTTTGTAAAATCTCTATATTTGCATTGATGGATTTAAAAGAAAAATTTGATGTTTTTAATAAAAGTGATCTTGATCATCAAACAAGCGTTAGTATTATGTTAAATCGGATTGCAAAAAGTAGTGTTATCGTAAAAAGTCAACAAAAAGATGAACCTGATTTATGTTTTGATGATAGATTAGTATTAATCAAAGATATTTATGAAAAATCCAAAACTAATTTTGTTTTGAAATTTGGACGTTTTCTTTTATTAGAAGAACTCTGTATGCTTGAAGAAGATAATAATTCTGAGTTAAAATTATGTTTAAAAAATTTGAAATGCATGGTTGATAAAACGCAAATAAAAAATCGAAGATACATTTATATGAAAGATATTTTGATGAAAGACGGTTTTTTCAACGATGCTGAATTGCAGCAGAGAAATCCATTACTATATAAACATTATGTAGAAAATTATAAAATCAGGAATATCAGTGATCAACAAAGTTTTTCATCTTTTTTATTTGAAAAAATGGATAATGATTGGTATAACTTTCGTTGCGATGTTGAATCTAAAATTTATGAAAATGCTGAAGAAGAGGAAGAGAATAGTGATGATGACTTAAATATTGAACTTAAGAAATGTAACTATTTAATTTTTTTTTAGTTTAAATATAATTATAATTTTATCAACTAAATTATAAAATCCAGGAGAGTTTTTGCTGCCTCCTGTCCCATTCATAACATAAATGCCTCCAAATAGAATTTGGTTTTTGTTTAGATATAGAAGATGGCAGTTTAGTTTCTGATAAAGAAAAATCTCAAATGCAACAGGAGTTTTTTTCTTTTATGGAAAATAGATTTTTAAGTGGAGAAGATGACTTTGATTACAGTAATGTTGATTTAAATGTTATGCATTGTGATAGTATTGGCGATCAAGATTTAGAAGATCAATATTTTGATGCTGAAGATCCAGATTAACTCTTAAAATTTTCACACATGTCAAAATTATATTTTCATGGTTCAGTATACATTGTTATAAGTTTGTAAGGTTTGTATTTAACATCATTGCAATATTACATATTTATAATCGAATCTTTGTTATTTTTGTTAGTTGAATATATATATATATATATATATATATATATATATATATATATATATATATATATATATATATATATATATATATATATATATATATATATATATGTATACAAAGAATAACCTACAAAATTCCAAAGAAATTAATATGTGTGACAACATAGACTAAAGAATTAAATCAAGAGTTGATAGTCAAGCTTGTCTGAATCCCAGTCAGCTTTAAGGTAGTTGTAAGCAGTACAATGATAGGGGGATTCTGATGATGAAGAAGAACAAGATAGTAGTTTTAGAGAGATCACACTGTAATCAGAAGCACTTAAGGGTGAATATGGAGAAACTGAGCACTGAATAGGATCAGAAACAAGACGTAAGTTGAGTAGAGAAAGTAAATAATTCGGGTTGTCTAGAAGGAAAGTTGGAAAGTTGACTATTTGAGTTAGGGCTTGAGAAAGGCCAAAGTTGTGGGTTTTAACGCCTGCAGAGTCACTGACACTAGAGCCAAGCCACTCAGTGTGATAAGCATTAAAGTGACCAACAACAACGATATTGGCTGATAGATAAAGAGAGAGGGCTTGGTCAATTTGATCAGAAATAACATTGAAAAGAGTGCATTTTTGAGATGAAAGAGAGCAATATAGAAATGGTCCTAAACGAAAGCACATAAAAGAATAGTCTATGGATTTAAACCTAATTTCCTGACAACTGCGTGCAGGGGTCGAAATAAGTGCCAGACATCGCCACCCCTCAGATTATTTTTGAGACCTGCTATATGAGAGCAACCAACAATTGTTCATTTTTACTGCAAAAATGAACAATGGTTTATTGCCCTTATCTAGCAAGTCTCAAAAATGGTCTGAGGGGCGGCGATGTCCGGCACTTATTTCGACCCCTGGCGTGAATTCTTACGAATATAAATGCCCAGGCCAAGCATGTGACTATTGGAGTCTCTACGAATTAAAGGAAGATAACCATCAACACTAAGATTACAAGATAAGACAGCTGAACTCAAATTATTCTCACTAAGAGCAAGTTGGTCTGGTGAATTTTGCAAGAGATAAGACTCAATAGAAGAAAAGTTACTTTGAAGACCATGAATGATATGTTTAGAAAATTTGATAATGACGATGGTTTTTTGTGTTTTATAGTTTTTGTTACTTTATTCATTTTTTAATTTGTTAAAGAACTTGACTCAAAGCATAGATAATACTCAGTACACTATTTAATAGCCCAAGCATTTGTCTTATTACTTTTAATAAACACTAACCAATTTTAATAACAAAAACTAACAAGTTTTAAACTAACAAGCCAAGTAACAAAAGGCTCCAAATGTCACCTTGGCAATGCGCAAGAAAAGTACAAACAGGGACACCATCCATGCGCAACATGGTACTGGTAATACTTTGATATTTTTTAATTGTTGATATTATTAGTATCTTTGAGAGCTACCACAGATTTTGGGAAACCTGACTACTAGCCATCCTCAGAACCATAAAAATGATTTTTTGAGCTGCACCCTCATTAGGAGATAATAGAATGAATTTCCTAGTCATAAAAACAGATATACAAGCAAAATCCATGCATTGAATCAATGATGGGTCATCAAACATAAATTAAAAGTAAAAAAAAAAGCTTAACATTAAATGGGAAAATTCTTTACTTAATAAACAAACTTTCCATAATACCATAAATTTCATAAACTTATTTATTTAAATAAAATGACAGTTTTTCTTATTTTGATTGTATTAAATGGTTATCTACCAAGTCATTTCATAATCATTTTTATTGGTTTATAATGTATTTTTTTTTTAGTCTGTTGATATTTCTATGTAAAGTCTTCAGTTTTGTATTATTTATTCCAGAGTTTTATTAAAAATTAACATTTTGAAAATGTAATAAACATATTATGAAACATGTTAAGATTATTGTTTCATTAAAAAAAAAAATTAATTAAATACTCTTGCTTGTTTTTACCATAAAACGTAAACTTAATTTTATTTTTATATTTTAAATTAGTTTAGAAGACTGGAAATCGTTTAGAAACTTTAAAAAAAAATTTTTTATTAACTAATAGATTGCCTGCCCAGATCAAAACCCTTAGTAGATATAGCAGCACTCCTTGCATATTCTACCTTTTTGTCAGTCAATGTAGCATAGATGATGGGTAGGAGCCACTTTTTTTTTAAACGGTTATAACAAAAAAACCAAAAGTGAAAAAGGATAATACAGGCTTGGATACGAATGGCGTGCGATCGAGCACTATTGCTGACCGCGTGAATGATTTTATTTTTTGACAACTTGACCACAACTGTTTAGATGATTTTTAAACATTTTAGTATTGCGCTGAAAATTGAAACGCTAGCTAAACTTAAACTAGGAAGAAAATTAAAAAATGTTCCTACTGATTCACTTCTACCCATACAAAGGTGGAAGAGAGACATTTTCTTTAATTACCTTAAAACAAAAGTTGTGTATTGAGAACGAAAGTGTATGCAAGTACTGAACTAATGTAAATTTCAAATTATGGAAATGGTAAAGTTTAATTTAGGTTTTTAGTTTTACTTTTCAAGTTTTCTACAACTAATTGAGTTCGTGCAAGAAAAAGGGTGTATAATATGTATATATAGAATATAAAATCTATAGAACTATAAAATTGTTTTGTTTTGCATTTAAAAAAACAAAATATTTGAAAAAAAAAACAATGATTTGAACTTGCCAAGTGTCAACCTTAACAGTAAAGGGGTCTTAAAAAGTATGTTTTAAGAATAAGAAAATAATTGAAAATTCTAATTTTATATTTGAAATAAAACATTTCATTAAAGTTGTTTTGTTTAAAATTAATAAAAAGTTAAAAATACTTAATATCAAGGTAATAAGGAAATTTGGAGGTTTACAGCTATTTTACCATGCCCCCATTAAGCATTTTAAACTGAGTGCGCAACAATAACACAATTTAGAAAATAAAAATAGGATGCTAATAACTGATAATGCAGAAGTCATTGTAAATGTGCATGTGGTTTTCTGTATTTATTATTTAACCTTTATAAATCTCTGAAATATCTTTGAATTTCTCTATTATCATTATCATAAATAATATTATTATTGAACTTTATTTATAAATAAAATTGAATGTATTTTTTGTAATTTTATTTATCTGTTTTTAAAGTTACTAAAGTTTAATTTTTTAATGTTTTAGTTGATGAAACATGTTCTGTTTTGTAGTTGATGAATTGAAATTGTATCTTAACAGGCTTTTTAATTTTATAGAAACTGATGATGGCCTTATTTTAAATATAAGAAAGTTGTTTTTTATTTTTTATTAGTTTTAAATAATTTTGTAAGATATTCAATTATGTTTTGTATAAATCTAGTTATTTAGTACAGTGTTATTGTCTGTGGTGGTATTTGGTTAGATTTTATAAAGTTAAATTTACTTTTAAAAATTTTTATTTAAAAAAATTCTTATTTGCTTTTTAGCTTCTAATTCAAAAAAAAATTTTTATACAAAATTTTTAAA